ATCAATATAGAGAGGGCCCATGGGTTACATCAACATAGAGAAGGACCATGGGTTACATCAATATAGAGAGGGCCCATGGGTTACATCAACATAGAGAAGGACCATGGGTTACATCAACATGGAGATGGACCATAGGTTACATCAACATAGAGATGGACCATGGGTTACATCAACATGGAGATGGACCATAGGTTACATCAACATAGAGAAGGACCATGGGTTACGTCAACATAACAGCTAAGATTGGGTCGGGCGTAGATTGCTACACGGATTTAACATAGTTTGCATACCATACCTAAATAAATAATTCACAGATCACTATTAGTAACTGTGTTTTGTACTAACTGCCACTTGTATGCTGTTTCATTACATGCGAGTAAAGGAATGCCACATTGTTGACACTGCGGTTGTCATGGCGCTGGACAATTGGCAACGCAACTCTTGATAAACAAAACTGGCTATGTTTCGAAATGTTCTCAGGTTTATTTCGAATTGAGGACATATACAATGAGAAAAAGAAGTACCATTGAATGTTAATGTTACACGTTTTCCTTACATTAGATTCCACGGATGTACCATTTGTGTCATCTTTAATAAATATTAATGCTTGCCACCGTTCTAAAGTTAACTTTTACATTGCCTATAATATCAAATTTAAATCAACAATATCAAGAGCAACATTTATACTACTGCAACGATCGAATAGCAAGCTGCCATTAAGCACGAGAGTAAGCATGATGAATCGTTAACACTGTATGGTGATATCGTCAGAAACACAGTCAGTTAATAAACGCTGACTCTTAATCACTGTTAGAACGAAGACAATATTGCTGATACAATTGCCATATTTTTAACGTTAATTCTGGAGACTAGCAGACCTGTATATTCTGATCCAGTCATTGCTTTAGTGGAATATGACATCACGTATACACGTCAAGTACCACCTTTTCCCCGGTTACTCGGCCTGACTTGTCTGACATGCAGACCCCGAGACGATCAAAGCCAAACCCATGCAGGTGTATTATTGTTCAGCATGTTTCTGTCAGTCGGCCATACAGACACTCCAATAAAAGTATCCAAAACATCCAAAGTCTTTCTTCAGTTAAAAATTATAAAGAGATTATCGACTCCTTTCATTGTAGGGGCGGTCGGGTAGCCTAGTGGTTAAAGCTTTCGCTCGTCACGCCGAAGACCTGGGTTCGATTCCCGACTTGGGTACAATGTGTGAAGCCCGTTTCTGGTGTCCCCTGCCGTGATATTGCTGGAATATTGCTAAAAGCGGCGTAGAATCATATTCAGTCACTCACTCACCTTTCATTGTAATTCAGAAGACATTTTAAGAAATATTTCTTTCAGTCACACTCTAAACATAAAAAGAATTTCTGAACTCCTTCCATCATATTCAAAAGACAATTCTGCAAAAGAAAATTCGTGAATTATTTTCATTCCATAGACCTAAGTTAGATGGACGACATGACGTTTAACCTGCTATGCCTTAATAACAAGACAAATGTGGTTGACCCAGGTGGCTGACCCACAGGATATAAACGCCGGCCAGCGTAACAAACTTGGAATGCCAGTCTCGCTAGTACATAGCAGCTCTCGAGTCTGGAAAGAGTGAGTGAGTGAGTGAGTGAGTTGGGTTTAACGCCGCTTTTAACAGTATTCCAGTCATATCACCGCGTGTCAGCATAATGTGGGAGGAAAGCCCGAGGTGATGTAGGTCTCAGGCGTTTACCACTTCGGTGAAACCCAGGAGCACGGGTATGGTGCTGACAAACCTAGAAACATAATGGGGGCGAACCGGGATCTGAACCCACAATCATAGGTTTCTGGCGTGCCCAAGGGACGCAACTCTGCACAGCGAATCGCGGCGCCTTAGACGACTGGGCCACCCGTGCTCCCGAGTCTGGAAAGAGCTTTGTAGGAAGTTTTCAGTTTCAAAGCTGCCTGCAACTGTAATGATCAGATTTATTTTATAAGGCAGAGCATTGCAACCAGAATCAATATTTTTTTGTGCGTTATGTGTTGGCTACTGTGTCGCTTAATGATGTATTAGTTGATTCAACAGAGGTGAGTGAGTGAGTATGGTTTTACGCCGCTACTAGCAATATTCCAGCAATATCACGGCAGGGGACACCAGAAATGGGCTTCACATATTTTACCCATGTCGGGAATCGAGCCCGGGTCTTCGGCGAGACGAGCGAACGCTTTAACCAGTAGGCTACCCGACCGCCCCTTGATTCAACAGAAGTAGGAAATAGCTTTCAAACAAATACACTAAGGTTATCTGCCTATGCAAGATAACAACGAAGTGATTAGCTGAATTGGTCACGTGTTATTGCATTCATTTCCCAATGAATGTAAAAAATTAAGCCACGCCCACCGTGGCGCTCTACTTTTATTACTGCGGAATGTCGGGGAATCCCAATATTACAGTCGAGGGAATTCCCTTTCTGCTCACGTGTATCGTCATGCACAGGACATTTAGCGACTTTCATGCATATTCATTGTCCAAACTACCCTTTGAAACCGAAGGCCGAGAAGGAATGAAACAGCAAACGTGCAGGCTCGCTCGCCTGTTTTTTTCCCGCTCGCCTCGGTTAAACTTTCATGTCTCCGGGTTTAATTTCTAACTAGCATTTCTCCTTCTGTGTTTTACCGTAATCAGGGAAGTAATGTTTGAATCACGCAGTAAATGACCATGTTATTTGAAACAGCCGCCTTCTCTCGGACATGTTTCTTCCGGTTCGTTACAGTCTGACTGTTGTAGTTCTTTTCGCCTCTTGCCTTAATTGACAGGTCCAATGAACATTGTTTTAATCCCACTCTCCGTTGATTGGCTACTGACTGTGTAGGCGTGTCAAGTTATGTGCATAAATTAAACGATTACCTGATTCATGTCACGCCACTGTATATATTCCTACACCTGGAATGTTTATCAATGTCGTCATTTTTGTCTGTTTTTATATATGCAACTGTTTTGGGTTAAACTATTGTAGATAAAACATGTTTTACGTTGTCAAATTTAATTATAAGCATTGACTGTATATTTTTTTCGGTTCATTGAGGTATGAATCGAAAAACCGATGTGCAAGCTTCGCGGATTCATACAGTTTGCACATCGGTTTTTCGATTCATACCTCAATGAACCGAAAAAAATACACAGTCAACCCTCAAGTGGCAGACGTATTCGTCTTTTGAAGATTACACTTACAGCTTGATAACTATGCAAATAGAACTCCTCAAATCAAACTGTTTATCAGACTCCTGTCATTGTGTTGATCCATTGACGAGATATCCCAGACAACGTTTAGGAACGAAGTTCGCTCGATCGACCGTCTGCTTCTTAAAGGGAACAAATTTTCTCAAGAACTATTTAAGTCAGAGATATGAAATTTACACACTAATGTTACTAGTCATGATCTCAAAAAAGATTGAAAATTGGTGGCGAAGATTCATTTACAGAGTTATGGCCCTTGCTCCGTGATTTTCACCTTAGTGTATAATGCGTGACATGGGGATATAGGGATAGGTTTTCTCAGAAACACTGAAGTTACATGAATGAAAGTTTGCATGCTTATCAATGATATACTTGTCAAAACTGAGTTCGAAACTTGATCCCGTATATTGTTTTTTTTACAGGATTATGTCCCTTGCGTGGTATGAAGCCAAGCTCCTTCCCAGCGCGTGACACCTTCGTTACACTCTCAGTAACATGGCTGCCACCAGTGTGGGCGCGGCCATTACAATAATCGTGAAATTTGCCCTCTAACCCCATGTGTAGTAACGTTAATACTTTTGTTTATGTCTTTGGGAATGCCATCATAGTTCATTGTGAAAAGGTTTACGACTGACTATGTTTTCCAGATGAATTTACTTTGTTCTTTTAATGATCAGATTGGTTCAAGATTGCAGACTAACGGAAAATCAGCCAACTTCTCCCTTACATTCTTACTATATCAATTAAAGATGATACATTTAATGAAATAGAAATTCAAATTGACAAACAAAGAAAGTAATTTAGCAGCGGTAAGTGTATTCGGCGTCACGACATTCGTCACTTGTTTGTAAACAAAACGGTCATTCGGTTGCGAGTTCAACTCCAAGCATGAGTGGGGTCACCTATCACAGTGGGGAGTTTTGACTGGTGGCAGCGATACATTCGTGACCAACTCGTGTTATTCCGGGACAAGCCGAATAGACTTCTTATTGCAGGTTACGGAAAGGGGCGAGTGGTGACGAATGGCAGCATTCGTGACCAACTCGTGTTATTCCGGGACAAGCCGAATAGCGACTCGTGCCCTTCTCGTGGCCATTTTTGCGACCGGGTTCCGTCTTAGCGCAAACGGGCATATCTAACAAAATTGTCAACTCGTTGCGTAATGGTTCACACATTTCCCCCATATTTTACATATATTTCAGACGCAATTTTAAGCACATCGGGACATGCGGAATTATACAGACATTTAACTGTGTCTTTGGTATATTTTAAGATGCAAGACATATGTAAAATCAAAAATTATTTCTGAGGGATTCTTTGACGAAGAACTTGAAATCATACGCGCATTCTGATTGGTTTGTCGTATTTTCGCACATAACATTCATCGATAGGGGGACGAGTCTTCTTGCAGGTTACGGAAAGGGGCGAGTGGTGACAAATGGAATGGCAGCGATAGTATAGAGAGCTCCGCGAACGGACTGTCGCTGTGAGGAGCTTGGTATAGTGCCTATAGTTCTTAAGGTTTTATAGGACTCTTTTTTATATTCACTACTACATGAACAAAAAAAATTCTAATGTGCCCCATGGCGTGTCTGAAACTACTGTTTCCTGCTTCTAAAATTAATTCACCGGTACATATCTAATCGTGATATTGCAGTCAGACACGTTGGAAGTGTTCATTGATGTATCCTGTCACGTATCAACACTTTGAGGTGTGAACAATTTAGATGTATGACGAAGATGTCTGGATGTGTACAGAGTTTGCTTTGTGTTACAGCGACTCGACCATCATTAGACTGTGAGGACATCCATGACGCCTGCGAACAAGGGAACCCTGATGCGGTGAGGTGGATCCTGTCAAAGAGAGGGTTTTTGGACGTCAACTGTAGAATGAGAGGCATGACACCGTTGATGAAGGCAGCAGAGGAGGGATACAGAGACATTTTGGAGCTCCTTGTTAATGGTGGAGCTGATGTGTCACTGGTGACCGGTGACTGTGACACTATTCTTCACTTGGCCTGTTATGGGGGAGACATGGAGGCGGTGAAGTATATCCTGTCTCTGAACGTAGTGGACTTCAGCAACAGTAGAGGAATGAAGAATAGGACACCGGTGATGGCGGCAGCATACCCCGGACACAGAGACGTGGTGGAGCACCTTTTGGGTCAAGGAGCTGACGTGACACTGGTGGACGATTATGGTGACACCATCCTTCACTTAGCCTGTCGTGGAGGAGACGTGGAGACGGTGACCATTCTCATGTATCAGAGCATGGTGGACATCGACGCCAGGAACAAGAAAGGGCAGACGCCGGCCGACGTGGCGAGAGACAAGGGACATCAGTATGTGAGTGAGCTGGTGTCAAGTGGCGCTATATGACGTCAGTGTCGTGTTTGCATAGACGGTAGAGGGGGGCTGTGGCGTCCTCGCTCAGTTTTAGGATAAAATAATTTGTTATTTTTGAAGATAAATAAATCTTGTTTAATAATTTGTTGTGTTTGGAACCTCGCAAGAATAGGGAAGAAAATTGTTAACTGAGTGTAACTACACATGTAGATGATGGGTGGTTGGTATATAAAGATCGCAATTCATCATATTTTTATTCTGTTTATTGTATGTCGTAAGTTTGAATGTAATCCCGAAACAGACAACACACTGTTTGTTCACATATCGCTGCACCCTGTGACCTCAGACTGAGCCGAGGTTCGTCCAACTATTGTGGCGCCACATGTACCATGACAATGACGTCATGGCAATTCGCCGGCTGTTTTCTTTGGCAAATACGTTCTCGGTAATTCACAGGCTGGCGCATTGCTGGCTTCATGACATATGCATACGCAAGTGCAACACAGGCACCATGCGGTCGGCATAGCTTAACAAAGGCAAAATATACATATTTTTCCATGTAGTTGGGTTGCAAAATATTGCTGCTGAAATTTAAAAACAAATACTTCTGATCAGCGCGGTATCTTTACACAGTCGCATTAAAAAAATACACGCTTCAATTCTGCGTAACAGCAATGTTTTAAATTAACTACAGCAGCAATACTGTGACATCTTCCCGAGGCAAGAGAGTTAACTGACTTTAAAAGTCCAGTTTCCACCCTCGCCGCACTAGGCTGGAATTACTGGGCTCGATCGTTGCGCCACCAGTGGCTATTACCAGTTGTGTCCCTTCTAAGCCACTTCTATGGACCAATCAAATTCCACATGTCGTCTTACTTGCATTTGCTTCAAACAAAAAAGCGGCGCCCAGTCAAGACGATCTGATCGATAAGCAATATCTATATTGTGACAAAACGGGTCTTACATCGCGAAGTGCACCAAATCACGTAAGCACCTTGATTAAAAACATGAAAAGATTTGGAAAATATCTGTTGACAACGAGTTGACGGTGCACATGCTTTGAAATTTCTGCCATCGACCTAAGTCTGCACTACAGTTTACGAACCGGATTTCGATTTCAGTGCCCGATTTTGATTGGACTATGCATAGACTCGTTTGTCCAGCCAAAATGTAACTCCATAATACCAGCCTAGTTCGGCAAGGGTGGAAACTGGACTTTTATAGTCATTTTACTCTCTTGCCTCGGGAAGATGTACTGTGAACGATACAAAGGTAAATATCAAGAAATACATGCACGTCTTTCACCCCCTCTTCTTCAACCCTCACTTTGATGTAGAAAACAATACAGCATGCATCAAGTACACTCATTGAATCAGGTGATTTTTTAAATTTATGCACAAAACTTCACACGCCAACAAATCAGTAGCCAATCAACGGTGAGAGTGATCAAAAGTTCATAGGACCTGTCAATCAAGGCAAGAGGCGAGAAGCACTGCAACAAACAGGCTGTAACGAAGCGGAACAAATGCTCGGGAGAAGGCGGCTTTACAAATGAAATGAGTTACCGCCAGATTCAAACATTAGTTCCATGAGATGGGAACACACAGTTGGAAATGTGCGGGTTAGAAATGAACCCCGAAGACATGAAATTTGTGGAACCCAAGCAAGCGGACAAAAACAGGCGAGCGAGCCTTCACGTTTGCTGCTTCATTCCTTTTCGGCCTTCGGTCTCAAAGGGTGAGTGAGTTGGGTTTAACGCCGCTTTTAACAGTATTCCAGTTATATCGCGACGTGTCAGCTTAATTATGGAGGAAAGCCCGAAGTGATGCAGGTCTTAGACGTTTACCACTTCGGTGAAACCCACGAGCACGGGCATGGTGCTGACAAACCTAGAAACATAATCGGGGCGAACCAGGATTCGAACCTACAATCCAAGGTTTCTGGCGTGCCCAAGGGACGCAACTCTGCACAGTGAATCGTGGCGCCTTAGACGACTGGGCCACCCGTGCCCCTTGAGAAATGACATTATCATAAACATTGGTAAAATCAGTAACTGTGTGTAGTGTCAATACCTGTGTTTAGTGTCAATAACTGCATGTAGTGTCAATAACTGTGTGTAGTGTCAATGCCTGTGTGCAGTGTCAATAACTGTGTGTAGTGTCAATGACTGTGTACAGTAACACTAACTGTGTGTAGTTTCACACACTACGTGTAGTGTTACTGTGTTCAGTGTCACTAACTGTGTGTGGTGTCACTAACTGTGTGTAGAGTCACTAACTGTTTGTAGTGTCAATACCTGTGTGCAGTGTCAGTAACTGTGTGCAGTGTCACTTACTGTTAGTAGCATCAATAACTGTGTGCAGTGTCACTAACTGTGTGTAGTTTCACACACTACGTGTAGTGTTACTGTGTTCAGTGTCACTAACTGTGTGTAGTGTCATTAACTGTGTGTAGAGTCACTAACTGTGTGTAGTGTCAATACCTGTGTGTAGTGTCAATAACTGTGTGCAGTGTGACTAACTGTGTTTAGTGCATTGTCACTAACTGTGTGTAGTGTCACTAACTGTGTGTAGTGTCAATAAATGTGTGTAGTGTCACTGAGTGTAGGATCAATAACTGAGTACAGTGTCACTGTGTTTAGTGCATTGTCACTAACTGTGTGTAGTGTCATTAACTGTTTGTAGTGTCAATAACTGTGTGTATGGTCACTGAGTGTTGCGCCAATAACTGTGTGTAGTGTCAATAATTGTGTGCAGTGTCACTAACTGTGTAAAGTGCATTGTCACTAACTGTGTGTAGTGTCAATAACTGTGTGTAGTGTCAATAACTGTGTGTAGTGTCACTGAGTGTAGGATCAATAACTGTGTGCAGTGTCACTAACTGTGTGTAGTGCAGTGTCACTAACTGTGTGTAGTGTCAATAACTGTGTGTAGTGTCACTGAGTGTAGGATCAATAACTGAGTGCAGTGTCAATAACTGAGTGTAGTGCATTGTCACTAACTGTGTATAGTGCATTGTCACTAACTGTGTCTGCCAATAACTGTGTGTAGTGCAGTGTCACTAACTGTGTGTAGTGTCAATAACTGAGTGTAGTGTCAATAACTATGTGCAGTGTCACTAACTGTGTGTAGTGCCAATAACTGTGTGTAGTGTCAATAACTGGGTGTAGTGTCACTAACTCTGTGTAGTGTCAATGACTGTGAGCAGTGTCACTAACTGTGTGTAATGTCAACAACCGTGTATAGCGTGAACGTGAGGAACAAGAACTTCTACGGCTACTGTTTGACGATGGAGTCTCCAGAGTGGTTATGGAGAAATAATCTCCAAAAAGACGAGAGGGTATTGGGCGTTTGATTTTTGTTGGACATTTGATTTCTGTTTAACCATTTTCTTTCTTTTTTTGATAGCTTTGTCCTGAAATTGCTGGTTCGACATGATTTGTCGTAGTATCAGCCTGAAAGGTAGAAGGTGTTGATTCAGATTGCTTGTCAGCTTTTTCTGACTGTTATGACTTTACGACAGGTTGACCAGACTTAACCCATGTCAAATCAGTCTGACACAGGACAGATGAAGAGGTTTTAGCAGATTTGGCTGCAGCATCAGTAACTGAGAGTAGAAATAAGATGCCTGGCGACGGCAAAGCTGATGTTTCTTTCGCACTTTAGTTTAAGAATTTTTATTTCTATTTGATAAACACAGCAGATGTTGGAGGAGGCCATGTGTTGCCCATCACAGTTTGACCATTCATATCTTAGGGACAATCTGAACTTTCATGGTTGTCCCCACAACGATGACAGACCATGGGGCGTTGCAGGCTTTAGAACCATGTCCAATATTTTACTAAATTTATAGATGATGACATAACTAGCTTTACTTGAATCGGGAACAGGTGAACGGGAAAAAATGAATAAATATGTGTTCGTAGAATAGAGTTTGATTTATTATCCTTTCTGGTAAAACGTTTGACAGATTGAACTCCTTGGTTTTCAAGTTAACCCACAATTTCCTCTCCGACATTTCTGATAGGGAACTGTCCTGTCCCGGGAATAGTTCAGAGTCCTCACACATTCCACCAGAAGAGCTCCATTGTGCAAACGTGTCACATTTTAACCTCCCCACAATGGCCATGAACAGATTTGGATATCCCGAAGGGGTTCAATTTGATTGGTTCATGATCTGTAGCTTCGATCACAAGGAATCAACATATGTATTAGCCTCATCAGACGAACTTGTATCCAAATGTGTTCATTTAGAAACAGTATGATTGTAAGCCATGATCAAAGGTATTTGTTGTACATTGGACATTGAACCTTGGTGTCGTGATGGGTAAAAAGGAAGTTCCGCAGTGTGAGACAAATATAAGTCATTTACGCACAATATTAATGTTAAGGGTTTGGATCTAGATTAATTAATATAAACAAGAAATCTAATATTTTTCAAGTTCCTTCAAAAGTAATAATACTCTCAACACGGGACTATTGTGGCAACATACTTGGTATGAAACACGATACTCTGATGAAGTTGCCCGCCTTATTTGCTGCTGTGGTGCCACATGTACACACAGGAATTTTCTGTCAGAGCATTCCTGACGAGTTGGCTTTTTGTCAAACACTTGAGTCGGGCCAAGTTCGATGTTAATCCAGCACCAACGCACTCAGTCTTCTCGTAACTTCGGCGAGCTCGACACAATCCCTGCACGATGGAACTAACAAGAGTTGTATTCATCATTCTAATGTCGGTGTGTGGTGTCAGAGACGTACATGCTGATACAAGTTTCCCAGCCTTCTCTAAAAAATTAAACCTGCTTGACAGAACGATCCAGGCGTGGAAAGGCACAGTTGTTGATTTGAGGAATGAAATAAGTAACAACTTTGACTTGCTGGAATTATCACTGAAAGAAGAACTGACTAACACGTTCATCCCTGCCTTGATAAAACCTCTAGTGAAGCAAGCGATTACAGACAGTCTGAAAGGAGACTACATTGGGAATATTATCCGTGGACGTGTTCTCGATGTAGTTAACAGTCTGAAAGCAAGGGTGCATAACACAAAGACACAACTTCGCTCAGTTAAACGACAGTTCAGAAAAGTTAAACGGGAACGAGACATGTTCAAAAAGAGTCTTGGCAAATTACGAGGCGAGCTGACCAAAGACATTCATAGGGACTTGCTGGGAATACAGCAAAGAGTAAGTACAGACATTAACACAATTTACACATTCAAAAGTGTATAAGTCTCTATATCAGACCATTCAGCCTGGTATTTTACCTGGTAACATACCATAAGGTGCCCCATGTTATGAACTATGTTATGTTACTGAATCCTGACATAAACTATGTAATCCAATTACAACATTGCCATATAACACAGCCACTTAGTGACCTTGCATCACCATCAGCAATAGGTATTTTATCACTATTTGATTTGAAAGCAATGTTTCGGGTATCTTACCTGTACCTGTAACAACACAGTACACTATCATACACGGTAAGTGGTGCTTGGTGTAAATATGTGCGACATTCAGAGAGCCTCCATGTAACAACACTATATACTGAACCTTTGTCAGGTAATTACTCCTGTATATACTCAACCTGTCAGGTAAATACTATTGAAAATACTCAACCTGTCACGTAAATACTCCTGTATGTACTCAACCTGTCACGTAAATACTCCGGTATATACTCAACCTGTCAGGTAAATACTCCTGAAAATACTCAACCTGTCAGGTAAATACTCCTGTATGTACTCAACCTGTCAGGTAAATACTATTGAAAATACTCAACCTGTCACGTAAATACTCCTGTATGTACTCAACCTGTCACGTAAATACTCCGGTATATACTCAACCTGTCAGGTAAATACTATTGCAAATACTCAACCTGTCACGTAAATACTCCGGTATATACTCAACCTGTCACGTAAATACTCCGGTATATACTCAACCTGTCAGGTAAATACTATTGCAAATACTCAACCTGTCACGTAAATACTCCGGTATATACTCAACTTGTCAGGTAAATACTCCTGAAAATACTCAACCTGTCAGGTAAATACTCCTGAAAATACTCAACCTGTCAGGTAAATACTCCTGAAAATACTCAACCTGTCAGGTAAATACTCCTGAAAATACTCAACCTGTCAGGTAAATACTCCTGTATGTACTCAACCTGTCAGGTAAATACTCTTGTATATATTCAAACTGTCAGGTAAATAATCCTGTACATATTAGTACTCAACCTGTCAGGTAAATACTCTTGTATATACTAGTACTCAAACTGTTAGGTAAATACTCTTGTATAAACTCAACCCGTCAGGTAAATACTGCTATGTATGCTCAACCTGTCAGGTAAATACTCCTGCATATACTTAACATGTCAGGTAAATACTCTTGTATATACTAGTACTCAACCTGTCAGGTAAATACTCCTGCATATACTTAACATGTCAGGTAAATACTCTTGTATATACTAGTACTCAACCTGTCAGGTAAATACTCCCGCATATACTTAACATGTCAGGTAAATACTCTTGTATATACTAGTACTCAACCTGTCAGGTAAATACTCCTGTATATACTCAACCTGTCAGGCAAATACTCTTGTATATACTCGAACGCAACCTGTCAGGTAAATACTCTTGTATATACTTGAACGCAACCTGTCAGGTAAATACTACTGTATATAATCAACCTGTCACGTAAATACTCTTGTATGTACTAGTACTCAACCTGTGAGGTAAATACTGCTGTATATACTCAACCTGTGAGGTAAATACTCTTGTATATACTCGTACTCAACCTGTCAGGTAAATACTCCTGTATTTACTCGTACTCAACCTGTCAGGTAAATACTCCTGTATTTACTCAACCTGTCAGATAAATACTCCTGTATATACTCAACCTGGGAGGTAAATACTGCTGTATATACTCAACCTGTCAGGTAAATACTCTTGTATATACTCGTACTCAACCTGTGAGGTAAATACTCATGTATATACTCAACCTGTCAGGACAATACCCCTGTATACACTCAATCTGTCAGGTAAATAATTCTGTATATAATCAACCTGTGAGGTAAATACTCCTGTATATACTCAACCTGTCAGGTAAATACTCCTGTATATACTTAACCTGTCAGGTAAATACTCCTGTATATACTTAACCTGTCAGGTACATACCCCTGTATATACTTAGCCTGTCAGGTAAATACTCCTGTATATACTTAACCTGTCAGGTAAATACCCCTGTATATACTTAGCCTGTCAGGTAAATACTCCTGTCTATTTTCAATCTGTCAGGTAAATACTACTGTATATAATTAACCTGTCAGGTAAATACTCTTGTATATACTAGTACTCAACCTGTAAATACTCAGGTTGCTTTGGTTTTTTAATCTTTACAAATTTTGAATTTTCCAAACGAAGTGACTAAGTTTCTGCTGCCATGGTGACCACGCCAATGACATGCTTGACCGTTTGTTCCAGTTTTGCGTGGGCGGTCGGGTAGCCTAGTGGTTAAAGCGTTCACTCGTCACACGGAAGACCCAGGTTCGATTCCCGACATGGGTACAATGTGTGAAGACCATTTGTGGTGTCCCCCGCCGTGATATTGCCGGAATATTGCTAAAAGCGGCGTAAAACCTCACTCACTCCCAATTTTGCTGATTTCGTCATAATATTTTCTTTGTATATATGTTATTAGTTTATGACTGTGTTCATAAATTGATCCGCCAGACAACTTAAAATTCATCATTACAGATACAGGAACTTGAGGAAAGTGATGCGCTGCGTGGAAAACACATCCAGGACTTGACGGAACAAAATCAAAAAGGTTGGAATGCCATAATCTGTTGGGAACATTGAATCTGTCTTTATCATGAGCAGGCGGTCGGGTAGCCTAGTGGTTAAAGCGTTCGCTTGTCACGCCGAAGACCCGGGTTCGATTCCCGACATGGGTACAATGAGCGAAACCCATTTCTGGTGTCCCCCGCCGTGATATTGCCGGAATATTGCTAAAAGCGGCGTAAAACCAAACTCACTCACTCACTTTATCATGAACATGTAATGACACCATGGCCCACATGCACAAAGCGATCTTAGCGCTACAACTATTTTAAGCCTATATTAAAGTACGGGAGTAACATTGTACGATCATCTTAGCGCTAAGATCGCTTTGTGCAAGTGGGCCCTGGTGTTTGCGAAAAGGGGAGTTAAATAAGGGAAATGTATCGGACATCATTTTTGTCACTGACGCGTCAAATTCAGAAATGTTCTCCACATGTTTACCATAAAGCTTTTTGAAAGCTTTACTGTGGCCTTGAATGTTGTAACCTTGATCAAACATCTTCTGAGCAAGTGTCAGATTACAGTTTTTGAAATCTTGGCGGAATAAGTGTACTTGATTGTACCTCAAAAGTTGTGAAATATAAACAACAAAGGCTGGAGCTGGTGAATTTTAGACATCATACACCAGCCCTGTGTTTTTAATGGCAGCGGGAAGTGTCATTAGCACTTCTAACACTGTGCAGTAGACATGATACACCAGTCCTTTGTTTCTAATGGCAGCGGGAAGTGTCATTAACACTTCTAACACTGTACAGTAGACATGATACACCAGTCCTTTGTTTCTAATGGCAGCGGGAAGTGTCATTAACACTTCTAACACTGTACAGTAGACATGATACACCAGCCCTGTGTTTCTAATGGCGGCGGGTAGTGACATTAACACTTCTAACACTGTGCAGTAGACATGATACACCAGTCCTGTGTTTCAAATGGCAGCGGGAAGTGTCATTAACACTTCTAACACTGTACAGTAGACATAATACACCAGCCCTGTGTTTCTAATGGCAGCGGGAAGTGTCATTAGCACTTCTAACACTGTGCAGTAGACATGATACACCAGTCCTTTGTTTCTAATGGCAGCGGGAAGTGTCATTAACACTTCTAACACTGTGCAGTAGACATGATACACCAGCCCTGTGTTTCTAATGGCAGCGGGAAGTGTCATAAACACTTCTAACACTGTACAGTAGACATGATACACAAGCCCTGTTTCTAATGGCAGCGGGAAGTGTCATAAACATTTCTAACACTCTACAGTAGACATGATACACCAGTCCTGTGTTTCTAATGGCAGTGGGAAGTGTCATTACCACTTTTAGCACTGTACAGTAGACATGATACACCAGTCCTTTGTTTCTAATGGCAGCGGGAAGTGTCATTAACACTTCTAACACTGTACAGTAGACATGATACACCAGTCATGTGTTTCTAATGGCAGCGGGTAGCACCATTTCTACTTCTAACACTCTACAGTAGACATGATACACAAGCCCTGTGTTTCTAATGGCAGCGGGTAGTGTCATTCACACTTCTAACACTGTGCAGTAGACATGATACACCAGCCCTGTTTCTAATGGCAGCGGGAAGTGTCATTAACACTTCTAACACTGTGCAGTAGACATGATACACCAGTCCTGTGTTTCTAATGGCAGCGGGAAGTTGGTGGCCCAGTCGTCTAAGGCGCCGCGATTCGTTGTGCAAAGTTGCGTCCCTTGGGCACGCCAGAAACCTATGATTGTGGGTTCGAATCCCGGTTCGCCCCGATTATGTTTCTAGGTTTGTCAGCACCATACCCGTGCTCATGGGTTTCACCGGAGTGGTAAACGTCTGAGACCTGCATCACTTCGGGCTTTCCTCCCACATTAAGCTGACACGCCGCGATATAACTGGAATACTGTTAAAAGCGGCGTTAAACCCAACTCACTCACTCCCTCTCTTTAACTGATCTCTTTAAGTAGACGTGGTGATTGTACAGGTCACGCCTTTGCATTTGTGTTGTTTTGTACATTACAGGTTTTCCATGCAGTGGCCGGATTTTGGCCATTCTGATTCTGTTTTAGAATTACATTTTTTAACCGATTCACTAAGTCATCAGATTTCTCCATTGTGCCGAAAAAAGATTTCCGAACGATAGCTGACGACAAAACGAGTCACGAGACGTCCACGAGACGACCACGAGACCTTCACGCACATCACGCGACAATTTGGCAAGGATTCAGAGGTTTGATAATGAACGACGACGCAACATTTCACACACGTCACTGAAGCTACGTATAATTGCCAAATGTCTGGACGTATACGTAGCAATATGGCCACCAGTTGTATGTGAACGACAGGAATGGCGGAATACAATATGCGTTTTTACTAGTATGGTAAAAGCCAATGGCGCTGTTGAGGAAGTTTCCTTTTGATATCTCACACGTCCATCTGGAACAAATAGGTGATGAAACTTGCATCTCAGCATGCCCAAAGACGTTTAAAGATGGTACTTGTTGTTACCTCGCCTGCTGTTAGATTATCTTACAACGTCATGTACTCACACTGTTGAGTAATAGTTAAGAAATATAGTTTGTTCTAGCCCCATCTGTAGTGCAATAAAGTATGATGTTGTCCTGAACGATTGTGATAGTTGAAGCACGATGACGCTCTCGTTGCTTTGAAGTTAAATTGAAAATGACGGGCTGGTCCACTTGAATGTCTGTGTACCCCTTTACACCACTAAAATGATGAGTTTATTTCAACAGACCTCTCTTAAAATGTATGTATGACCCCAAGGTCAAACTCCCAAACGAGGTTTCCCCGCATGGCGGCAGAGCAAACACCCGGAAGTGATTTATCGCTCGTCTCGTTCAGCTTCGTCAAATATTTTGTTCAAAGACAATCTAAGAGCGCAAGGAGTTCCCCGTTGAACAAGGGATTCCATTACAACAGCGATGGGTTCATCAACAGTATCAAAAGTACGTATAGTGTGCTTTTACACTAAATAACAATGACCACTTTGACAGGTCACGTTACCTTTCATGGCATATGCTGTTGTTTTGAACTAATATTGATGGGCGTAACATGAATGGGCTAAGACAGCCATAATGACTGATAACCAGCCCTTTAAATGTGTGTAAGCGCTATATTTTATTTATTTTAATTCTTGTGTTTTGGGGTATTACGGTAGTCTATTGATCTAATTAAATATGATTATTATTAAGGTTATAGTTTATACTGTGTCACGTATAATTCAACCGTCATAAACGCAAATGGTTTTTGGCTATAGATCTAAATAGTTGTTTTTTTGTATAAACCATAATCATCCACAAATCTTCCATTAAATTCAGTTCTGTTTCACAGTTGAATGTGTGTATGTAGTAATTATTATATTTCCAGCGTCGTGCAAAGGATTCCTGTGGCCCGACTCATGTGAAACTCCACATAACTAAGAGGTAAGGGCTATGAAATAAATATGTCGTATTCATGTTCAATTAATAAAATTAATTTGAATCAATGGGTATGGAAGTTACATTAAACTCCAACAATAATTCTGGGTAACAGACCATGCAGATTATCCTGTTAATGCAAATTATATGAAATTTTTTTTTTTTTTAAAGTCAAATTGACTCGACACAATGTTTGAAGTGTTTAATAGTAGAACGCTTATTAAATTGCATTCATACAATTGACATCTGCAAGTTTTTCTTCACAACTTCAATGTATTTTTTCAGATTTATCTGAAGTGAAGGTTTCTGCAACAGACTGTTTCTGTGCCATCAGACAGATCGAGCCAGTGCTATGGACATCAGTTAAAATACAATGTATGTACATTGTGTAATAAAATATTTGCGTCTCAAACGATTTGACACGTTTATCTCTCACATGCAATTTTAGCACAATTCTATAAGAGTGTGCAAGGGAAACCATAATCAAGCAACTGTCCACAGCTGATTGATAGTTTTGAAAATTCTACAACATGGACTCTCAAGGATGTTAAGGTTTGTATTCCTCCTATTTATTCAGCTGAAAGCTGACTACAGTTAAATAGGAAAGGGGGAATATTGAGACTATTTCTTGTGTGCAAAGTAGTGGCAATAGTAAAGCCTTGGTCTGCCCCCACACTATCACCAGGCTGTACAAGATCAAGAAAAATACCAACCACTTCATAGCTTTGTCATCTCAGCATCAGACATACCACCTGTAGACAAACATGATGCAAAGTTCACAGCATCATGAGGGGCTATACAGATCAGGCTTTAGAGTGGGCGGCTAGTTTTGTAAAGTGCATAACATTTTTCAGTTGAGGACAAAGGCCTATGGGATTTGAATTTTTATTTCAGTGCAGTCAACAGCATAGTCCTGGGTCTTCCAGCCAAGAAAACAGTGTCAGAACAAACATAATACATGCTACACATTTTGGTGGCACTGGGTTGATCAAAATAAAAACATCACTTGAAAGTATCACAGTCAGTAAAGAAATATAATATTGCATGAAACGGGTCAGTTCTAGGTCTTGATACTCCAAAATTCTCAAGAGCCAGATGGTTATTGAGTAGATGGTTCTCCCATTGTTCAACATGGACCTGCATCTCCTTCATTTCAAATTGTGCCTCACACCCCACATTCTGTGTGGAATGATCATTCCCTTCAACCTCATGTCCATCACACCTCCTCCTGGAACCAGGTTCTCATCACACTACAAACAAAATAATACTCATTTAATATAAATGTTTCATAAAAAAAGTATTAAAAAAGTTATAATGCAACATTGATGAATGACATTTATTAATACACATATCATTATAGTGGATAGTTGTAAATTCTTACGCTATGACGTTCTGGCCTATATGATCGAGGGGGGCTTCCTTGGTGTTGCGGCCACAGTCCCATCTTCCCGAGGCAAGTGAGTTAACTGACTATAAAAGTCTAGTTTCCACCCTTGCCGAACTAGGCTGGTATTATGGAGTTACATTTTGGCTGGACTAACGATACTATGCATAGTCC